TCTCTCTCTCTCTCTCTCTCTCTCTCTCTCTCTCTCTCTTTCTCTCTCTCTCTCAAAAGCTCTTCACTTTCACCCCTTTCTTCCCTCAGGCATGTACCTTTGCTTTCTTTTTCCTAAGCTCCAAAGGCCCTTCTTTTGCCTCTGAAACTTATTTCCTGAGTCCATGCAGCCCAACTGGTTCACTTCTTCTACCTCTGTGACTTTCTAAATAAACTTGCATTAAAGTTCTTGGCTCTAAATGCTTTCTTAGCTGAATTCAAGGATAGAGGCCTCACTCTGCCATTAACACAGGCACGATATTTTCAGTTCTTATGAAATTGCCTGGTTGCTTGGATATTCCTTCACCCAGATGGGAGAAAATCACCAAGTAACTCTTTCATAATCTCAGTTCCAGAACCCACAAATAGAATAATCGATATGAAAATTCTGATGACTGGCTCTGCTCTTTGGAGAGCGTGTTGGCATTATGTTAGCCTTAAAAAAAAATTTAAACCTATTTCTCTTTTGACCTTTTTCCATCAATAAAGAAATTAATAAACAAAACAAAATAAATAAAAGCTCAATAAAATACCCAACAAAAGAAAATTATCTGTGAAAGTAATAAAGAATGTGGCTAATCCTTACAAAGTCTGCACAAATGGCCTTGGACAAATTACAAAATAATTCTGAAATGTTGTCATTATAATTAGATTGAAAGGAGTTGCTCCCAGTGCCTGCTGCTCCTGCAGGTAAGTACTCTCCTCATTCTGCTGAATCATCAGGCCCAAGTGAACAGTGGAACTTTGCCCTGAATTGAAAGGTGTAAAGGTGAAAGCAAATTTCAACAGTCTCACTGACCTTTCCCTGTGCTAAAGGGCAGAATCCTTTTGCAAAACCAGTTAATCTAAAATCAGGGGATTTATTCCAACTCATAGTTGGAGTGATTCTATCAGTAATTCTTTTGACACCCAGGATCCCATGAACTGATTACCATCTACACAGTCTGTGCTGTTAATGCCAAACCAGTCTTGAATTAACCAACAGTCCAAATTAATCAATAGTATTACTTTGGTAACAGGCAATCATACATTTATTTTATTTTTCCTTTATTTTAGAGAGAGAAGAAGGGAAAGGGGGAAAGAGAGAGAAACATAGATGTGAGAGAGAAACGTCGATCGGTTGCCTCCCATATCTACCCCAACCAGGGATCAAAACCACAGCCTGGGTATGTGCCCTGACTGGGAATTGAACCCTCAACCCTTCAGTGCACAGGATGACATTCCAACCAATTGAGCCACACTGGCCAGGGCAGGCAATCATACATTTACTTATTATCTCATTTCTCCAGTATGAGTACAGAGCTAGTGTTCTCAAGTTGGGATGCAAATCAAAATAAGAGAGCAGCTTTAAAACACTCCACATCAAGTATTTTTGAGTTCCACTCTTTGTGATTGAAGACTGTTACTGAGCAGATGGCCTAATGACCCTGAGTCCACAGCCTAAGAAATCGCACATTGCAAGCATCTTTTTTCATTCAACAATGTGTTTTAAAAGGTTATCAGATGCAGGGGCTGGTTGTAAATAGGGAGTGAATCTAAGAATTATGAAAACCCACATATACTGACTTTGGAACGACAAGAGTGGAGAGAGAAATGCGGGTTTGAGAAAACAATGGTCAAAAGTAACTAGATTCTTATCTGTTGGGGCCCAAGGGAATAGGGCACAAGACTGGGAGTCTGAAGCATGGTCTGGGTCCAATGGCTCTGGGCAAGTTCCTTTACCTCCTGCTTTTTAACACTGTCCTCATCTACAATACTGGGGTAAAGGGTGCTCGTCCGTCTACTTACGGATTTAATGAACGTGTGTTACAATGCTTCACAGATTGCAGCCACAAAATTATGAAAGAAAGCATATATGTTAATAACGCATGTAAGTAACCTGGAACAGCCCTAACGGATTTGGCTCAGTGGATAGAGCATCCGCCTGCTGACTGAATGGTCCCAGGTTTGATTCCGGTCAAGGGCATGTACCTTGGTTGCGGGCACATCCCCAGTAGGGAGTGTGCAGGAGGCAGCTGATCAATGTTTCTCTCTCATCGCTGTTTCTAACTCTCTATCCCTCTCCCTTCCTCTCTGTAAAAAAAAAAAAAAAATCAATAAAATATATTAAAAAACAAAACAAAACAAAAACCTAGAACACAGGGGACGAGAAAGCAGGACTACAAGACCCAGCAACCACTTTGCCTAACCCTAGAACCCGCCCTGGTCCCAGCAGCCTTTGCGGCGGGGGCGGGGGCGGGGCCAGCGCGCGCCGCGCCACGCCCCCTCCTCCGTCCTCCTTCGCCGGGACTACATGGGCCCGAAACGGCTCGGGAGCACCGGTCCTTGCGGGGAGGCCTCCGAGTTTCGGTTTCTTACCTGCTCGGCAGAGGCCGCAGCCTCCCGAATGCCCTGCCTTCCAACAGCGACCCCGCGAATGGAGGGACGTGCAGAAGGTCCCAGTCGGAGAGAGCATGTAGTAATACTCACGCTTCCCCCAGAGCGCGGACTAACTCCAGCCCCGCCTCTTCCGCCCGGCTATTTAATGCTGCGGGTTGCCCCCCTCCTGTCAGTCAGAGGAGGTGCAGGCCGCTCCTGGTCCGCTTGCCGCCCACTGGGGGACTGTGTTGAACTTTGAGGTGGAAGATGTCGGAAAGTAACTTCGGCGACGCAAGCGAGGAACAGGTGTCTGGCGCTGCAGTCCTCGCCCGGGCCCTGAAAGCGCAAGTACGAGGGACCACCCTGAGGGCACGGGCTCCTACGGGAGCCGGCGAGGGCCGAGCTGTGTTGGGAGCCGGTATTGCCGCGGGGGCGGGGGGCGGCGGGGGGTGTAATTGGGAAGGAGGGAGGGAGGTTCGCGTGAAGTTTTCCTTTTAGCTTCCCGGAGGGAACCGTGTGGCGGGGGTCCATGCATTTACCCCCCCCGTTCTTGCCCCCACCCCCAGGATGTGCAGTACATGTTTGGCATCGTGGGCATCCCAGTGACCGAAATCGCCATCGCCGCCCAGCAGCTGGGCATCAGATACGTGGGGATGAGGAATGAGCAGGCGGTAAGTGCGGACGGACGCTGGGAGCCCGGGGCACAGGGTTAATGATTAATAATAAAGGCAAATCCTCGAGGCAGACCCTCTTCCAGCACGTGACACGTGTCAATCACAACCATTTCACGAGGCAGGAACTATGAATCCGAGTTGACAGGTGAGAACAGTGAGGAAGACGCGGAGAGGTTACGTAACGGGCCTGAGATGACAACTGTTACGGCGGAGTCGGGATTTGAACCCAGGAATTCTGGGTCCGGATTCCTTGCTCTTAACCCTGCTATACACTCCTGTGCTCTGCAAAGTGTGCCAGCATTGGGACAGTTTCCGTGCCAGAGTCTGGGTCCCCTGTCCTTCACTCGCATAACTACCTGTTACATGTTTATTTCTGTGTATTATTTCACTGGACTGGTTTCCCTCGGAGCCTGTGAGCTCCAGGAGGGCAGGGGTATCATCTCTTCCTGACACATCGGCATCCCCTAGGTCAGCGGTTCTCAACCTGTGGGTCGCGACCCCTTTGGCAGTGGAACGACCTTTTCACTGGGGTCGCCTAAGACCATCCTGCATATCAGATATTTACATTACGATTCATAACAGTAGCAACATTACAGTTATGAAGTAGCAACGAAAATAATGTTATGGTTGGGTCACAAGATGAGGAACTGTATTTAAAGGGCCAGAAGGTTGAGAACCACTGCCCTAGGTGATTCCTGCACGTGGTGGGTACTCAGGGAGTGCCTGCGCTATGAATGGGGGAAGGCCAGGGCTCATGTCATAAAGCAGGTGTCCCTGCACTGCAAGGTGACATATCGCAGATGGCCCAGCCGTGATCACCGAATCACGCTGCGATCGTTCTTAGAGGCTTATTTGGAAGCATGAGAAAAGAAGCTAGGACGTTTTGTCAATCCAGTCCCAGTTCTTCCTCTGCCAGCTCAGCTTCACCCCTTCTCTCAGAAATGCTGGTTTCCAGATCAAAAATCTACTTCTGAGGGGGGGT